TGGATGGACTTAGCTGTCTGTTGTGTTGTCGTAAACCATCACAATACTTAATGGTTTCAAACACCTACAACACCATCAGTCTGTCACTTCTCATGATTCGGTGGGTTGTCCGGGGCTGAGGTGGATGATTCCTCTTCTGGCCTCACTTGGGTCCCATCCTTCGCTGCGTTCCGCTGGGAGCTCAACTGGGAATCAAATGCCAAAGGTGGCATCTTGTCTCCCAGGGTCTTTCTCCATGTCGTGGTGGTCTCACTCCTCCTCACAGAGTATAACAGGCAGCCCACGCCTCTTACATGTCAGCTCGATCTCAAGAATGCAAAGGAAGACGGCACCAGGCCTCTTAACGGCTAGACTCAGACTGGCTGGGCATCACTTCTGCCACGTGCCATCAGGCAAAGCAAGTCAAAAGGCTGGCCTAGCCTCAAAGAGAAGACAGACAGACACCACCCCTTGTGAAAAGGAGTGGCCATCGTTTGTCTACCATAGCTAGGTGGAAACCCTAAGTCAGAATGGAGACAGAAAATACATGCTATATCCGTAGGATGCCTTTGGCTGCACGTAAGAAAAGCTCTGGATTCAAAGAGACTTTGACATAAGAAACTTAATTCTCTTACGTTATTGGAAGATCGGAGTTGTGAGAGCCTAGGGCAAAGTTCCCTGAATGGCTTCATGATGTTCCTTCTGTCATCCTCAGTGTATCAGTCAGGATGGGTTAAGATATGCTGCAATAATAGACCCAATCCCAGTGGCTTTAAGAAGAGTTCAGTTTTACTCAGGCTACATGTCCATGGTGGGGCCTCCTCACTGACATTGCTTCCAGGCTGACAAAGCCACTCCCACCTGGAGCATCGCTGGTCACCATGGCAGGAGAAAACGAGAGCTCTCCCATGTCTTAAAGCGGCAACTGGATGCTCTGGTTCAGAAATGACATGCACCATTTTTGCTCAGGATTTTTGACCAGTAGTACTAAGTCACTCTCCCCTCCTGCTCACTAATGGGCCAGGAATTGCAATTCTACAGTCTGCCTGGAAGGGCAGAGATAGTTCTTGTGCAGCACTGATGACTATCAAACTGAATATCAATTTCAACTAATGACTGGTTTCTGTCCCCCCTGCCTCACCCCCTCAGCCCCCCATGGTCATAACCTCCACGGAAACAACACTTGAAAAAGTAGAGCAAGGAAAATTTCCCCAGAATCTCCCAACAGTTCCCGCACTTAGCACTGGCCAGAGCTGGATCATATATCCATTCTTAACTAATCTGGCAAGGGCAATGGGATTATTATGATTGGCTCAGTGCAGTTGGGATCCGTCTTCTAGAGCCAGGGATTGGGTCACTGTCTCCTGAGCCTACGAGCGCTCTGAAGTTGTATGTATAGGTGTTGAAAAAGATGATTCTTAGGCACTTTTTAATAAGTCACATCCACGACAGAAAGATGCTTCCATACTGTCAACAATTCAGGTACTGAAACTAGAAGGAGAAAGTAGGGGAATGAATGTTGGTGGGCAACCAGCCCGGTCAACTACAAAGGGCAAAGTGTCAATAAGGTGTATAGTGTTTTGCATTCAATAAGAGTTAGAATAGATAACCCCTAACATCCTGTTCAATTCTGAGATCTACTATTTTCTGTGAGTTTGTTGATGCTACCATCTATGAGCACAGAGGTTCAGAACATATTTGTGAGAGTGGTCTGAGGAACCAAAGCAATTTCCCTTACTTAGTGCCACCGATCAAATTCTGTTAGAGTCCCACGCAAAGAAGGCATGTTTCTACCCATTGCTAGGAAGCTCCCAATTTTGGAATAATGATGGGGAGGTGAAAGCTCAGGGAAGAGAAAAGGAAGGGATTGGCTTTAAAATTGCACATAGTCTGAAGGTAAAAAATTTGTACTTATGATTCCCAAATGTATGTGTGTGTGTTACGATATATACTTTTATCTGCTGTCCTGAGCTTAACGCTTGTGCTGAATTGCACCACTTAGAGCTCTAAAAGGCATTTCCACGTGACCATCACGAATGCTGTCCTGAACCTGCCCTTTGACCACCAACTACCAGAAACCTCCTTCACCCCTTCATCTTCTTTTACCTGGATTATCCGAAAGGCTTCCATATCTCTCTTCTCCCATCCAGTGTTCCTTACTCCAGTTGACTTAGAGATCCAGTGAACATGTAAATCTGACTGACTTCCCTTTGAGTAAAACCCACCAATAGTTCTCCATCAGCTGCAGAATAAATTCAAGTTCTTTGGCAGGGGATACAGCCCTCTTCTGCCAGCTTTATTTGGAAGACTCCCTCCAAGTTTATGCTCAGCTGCTGTCTCCCCAGCTCGCACACCCCACTGCCTCCTGTCTTCTGGATTTTGTGAATGATGCTCCCTCTGCTGGGAGTGTCCTTCCCCTCTTGTTTGCTGTATTAACTTCGAGATTCTGCTCCTTATCTCGTTGAGAAAACTGCCTTCGATTCCACCTTTCCCCTCCCGGGCTAGGTTGGGTGCCTGTCATCTGGGTGCCTCTCAGAGCACACTCGGTGCCCACCTTTGTCATGGGACATAACCATGGATAAGTTCATCATTTGTTGTCTGCCTCCCCAGTGGTTTACAAGCTCCCCTTCCTTGAGGAAAGGGACTGTCTTATTTAGCTTTTATCTCAGCACTTAGCACAGTGCTGGGTGGAGAGTAGGCACTAACTAAAATAAATGCTTGTTGAACAGAATCATGAAGAAGAGGGTGGCAGCTGAGTAGAGAGAATTGGGGGAGTGGGAGAGGGTGCAGGGGAAGAGGCAGGAAATGGAGAGATAGAAGCAAGTGGGGAGCTGCCAGGGGAGTTTGTGAACCTCCCATCCTAGGATCGAGGTCTCCCTCGGGGGCCTTGGAATCTGGGTTTCAGCTCCAATTGATCCATTCCGGATTCTGAGGAGAGGCGTTCTGCCACTCCTGCATGGGGGATCCTTGATTTGGGTCACACGTGAGACTGAATGGACAGCTCTGGGGACAATCTCTACCGCCCACACACTGATGAACTGTCCCCTGCCTTCAACCTAAGTACCTGGGCACTTGCTCAAAGGGCCAGAACTGTTGGCAGAATTTTGGACGTCGCTTTTTGTTCTCATTTTCCTGCCCCCAGCTCCACCCCCTCAGGTCAAAGATGAGGATTGTAACTCCCCCTTGGGTGGCCTCATGGCTTTGAAAGTTAGACTCAGGCCTCCTTTCCCAGACCCAAGCAGTAAGCACGCAGGAACGCCCCTTTTCCCCCTCCCCACCCCGCCCCCGCCCCCATCAGCTAAAGCGGAGGAATTTCAGCGCTGAGGCTCAGAGGCTAGGAGAGCTTCCCTAACTCTTCCCGAACGCTCTGGGGAAAGTCCCCGGAAAGAGGCAATGAGGTGCTCTCCCGCGCTGGGGCTGCCTGTGTGCTGGGTGCGCAGCAGAGTGCCCAAGAGGAGGAGCGCGCAGTCCCTGCTCGCTGGTAGCCCAGTAACTTCAGAGGAGCGACTTGACCCCTGGTCTCAGTTTAGGAACCTGTAGCAATGGGCCTGGCCGCTTCCCTCCGCTGCGAGCATCGCCACTAGGGAGAGGCAAAGGCTCGCAGGCACCCCAACTCCCGCTCGGGCCGCGCACGCACGGACTGGGGTGGGGCGGGAGCGGCCGCGAGGGCTGGACCGGGCCCGGGCAGGGGGGCCTGGCCCCGCCAAAGGCCGGCTCCCGGGCCCCTGTTGGCCGCGTTGATGAACCGGTGTCCTGGGCTTTGGTGACGCGGAGCTGCGGGCGCCGCGAGCGGGGAGCGGCGAAGAGGAGCCCCCCTCCCCCGGGCGCCCGGGCGTGGAGACGTGGGCGGCTGTGAGCGGCGCCCCCCTCCGCTCGCCTCCCCTCCCCCGCCGCCCCCGCCGGCCCCGGCCGGCCCCTCCCCGCGCGGCGCTCCCGCGTGTGCGGGTGTCTCCCTCGCTCCTCTCGCACACTCTCCGGCACTCGTGCAGGCGGCTCCCGGCTTGGCAGCTCGCTCCGGTCGCCGCCCCTCCGCCTCTGCAGTCGCAGCCGGGCATGGTGAGTGAGTGAGGTCGGGCGCCGCGCGCTCCCCAGCTCGCCGCCCGACCCCAGGCGCCGCCCGCTCCGTCCCGGGGAGCTGGCGGAGGCGGCGGCGGCGGCGGCGGCGCGGGCGCGCCGCGGGGCTGGCGGCCGGGGAGCGGGCGGCCCGTGCGCCCGGGGCCTCGGGGCCCCGTCTCGGGAGCGGGCTCCGCGCCCCTCCCGGCCCCAGCCTCGCTCCTCGAGGGCTGCGCGCTCCCTCCCCTCCCGCCGCCCGCCTCCCAGTCGCCCCACCCCGTGACCATCTCCCCGTCTTGTCCCGCAGGACCCGCCCGGACGGGACCACGCCGCAGCCGCCGCCGGGAGCCGCGCTTCGGGTCCCGCCTGAGCCGAGCCGCGCGCGGGGCCGCCGCCGCCACCGGCGGGGGATGGGGCTGCCCGGGAGGCGCGCCGAGCCCGCGTGGGGAGCGCGGAGCCGGCGCGCAGCCTGAGTCCCGGCCGCCCGCGCCGGGCTGGTCCGTGCGCACCGCACGCCGCCGCCGCCGCCGCCCCACGCGCCCCGATGGCGCCATCGCCCCGGCGCCG